AAAATTTATGTTGCAGAAGTGAATGGCAGAGTCGAAAAGGGACGTCCTAGGCGAAAATTTATCGACCAAATTGGCGATTTATTGGAAACGGGCCAAATTAGGAGTACCCTTAACCGACGAGCATGTATGCGTAGGTGTATGGATGTGAAGGAGGCGAGAGAGGTGTGTCAGGATCGTGCCAAATGGAAATCTGTAGTCTCTGCCTACCCCTCTGGGTGACAGGCGTGAGTGTTTATGGATTGTGTATTTACACAAATGTTAACTTATTTTTTCAAATATATGAAGTAAGCGTTACAAACGAGCACTCAGTCCATCTGATAGCAAGAGCTTGCTGCGCCCCACAGACATCTACCTTTATCCTCAATTAAGAATCAAAATTCATCCCTAAAGGACTAAAATGGAATGTCTTTTTTCTAGAAAAAAATATTTCCGGTTCTCTACGCTCACCATACGAAACACAGCATCGTTAAGCAGTACTTTACGCTGAAAATCTGTGAGAGCGTGGTCCTACCCTTGTCGAGCTAACCCATTCGAGCTACAACCCTAATATAGCTGAAATATGGCTCTACCACGTAAAGACTTAAGACTCGGGCTAAAATCTGCTTTCATTTACGTGCGATCGTAGTTTTTTTATAAAAATAGGAGTGACAAAGAAAAATAAGTACATTCCACTCAATGGTAAATGGATACTGTGACCCATGGGCATCTTCATCTAATATCGATTAAGAATCAAAATGTAAATGTTTTATCATATCTGCGAACTTTCATCTATATCAAATATCTGGCCATAAAGATTTAGATGAGAAAATAATTATACGATAATGTAACTAGTGAGTAACGTTATATGCGAGCGAGAATGAGTTTACCGATACCAGTACCTTGAAAATGTAAGTACGGATTTCCCACATGCATGGCGATAAAGGAAAACAGATCTACCTACCTGTAGAAAACTTCCTAAAGCATAAGAAAAAAAATTATCAGTATGTATTTCAATTTTCATGCTGAAGCTGTTAAAGTGAGAGCACGAATGGGTCAGCTTGACTGGGGAAGGACCACACACTCAAAATACCAGCGTAAATAGCAGCTTGATGCTGCTGTCTTTTGTATAGTGAGTGAAGAGAACTGTGGACTTTTTTTTTTTTTGGTAACATGGCATTCCAGATTATTCCTCAGGGGTGGTAACGCATTTGCATTTTGATTCTTATTAGTTTCCCTGTACTACCCGTTTTCAAAAAAATAAATCAATTAACTTGTAAAAGAACATGGAGCCTTAGAGTCACGGTGGTGGCACTCTTTTTGCTCGAAGGTTTTTGCTGTATTTCTAAAGACTTTTGCTATTGAAAATTGACACTGGCCAGCTATGCTGCTCACACAGGCTGTTGTTTAATTTTACCATTTGTTTATTTTTTTATTCTTTAATCAGGTAAACCGTTCAGTTAGTTCAGTCGTGGTATAAGAATATCCACTAGGTACCACATATCGTCCCGTGCGTAGTAAGAAGCGACAGAAGGAAACTAAAACTGGAGATGGTTAGCAGCATCTTCCTGATAACAACTCTTCAATCCACCTGCCAGGCGTGGCAACTGTGGCAAAATTATGAAATATGAAGCAATCTATAGTGAAGGCCTATCTTAAACAATTTGATCCTTATTGGCTATAGTGAATGAATAATAATGAATGAATAATGAAAGTTAGGTTAAAAAAACATTGCGTGCCTACTATTTCGGAAATGGGTATAATTTGTATTAAATTAAGATGGGAAAATCGTACAGAGAATGCTTAGAAATTGAGAGTTGACTTAAGGTACGCATAGCCACTTGGCTACCTTTTCATTTTATAATAATAAAATTACTAGTAATACTATTAATAGTATTACTAGTAATAGTACTAAAATAATTTATAGCTTTAATTAAATAGCTTAATCATTTATAAACAACAAATCCACCTGCAGTACTCTATCAGACAGCAAACACAGTTGCTTTTGCCGTTCTACGAGATACTCCAGCCTGTGACAGCTCTCTTTCTGAAGCGTCGTGAAGGTCTCAAGTGACGTGTTATCCGCTTGGCTCGGTACTCTTGGCACCGCCAAATTCCTGGAAAAAAAAAACAAAAATAAAGTTTATTAAATGTTTTCATCAAATCTTCATGTAAAAATGTATCTTATCTCTAAAATATATGAATACGTTAAATATACAACAATATTAAAATAAATGGTAACAAAACATCTCTTTGCTGCGCAAACAGCTTCTTTAATTTCTTAGAGCGTTACGCTATAACCGTACGCAATTATCCGTAGCGCTGCGGTGTTATCCAAGATGGCTTTCTACTATTGTAAGCGCTAACAGAAAACTACAAGAATGTCGTCATAGTCATCTTTCAGATGAAAGATGACTATGACGACAATGAAATATGACAATACATCCATTTTTCATGCGTGGCTGCAGTTGTATTAGTAGTATAGTTGTAGCACAAATGGGTCGGCTCGACCGGGGAAACACCACACTCTCACAGAATACCAGCGTGAAATAGTTGCTTAATGCTGCTGTATTTCGTATGGTGAGTGTAGAGCACTGGAGACCCTTTTTACTGGAAATGAGGCATTCCATCTTAGTCCTCACGGGTAACAACGAACCTGCATTTAGTTTTGTAATTGAGGATACATGTAGATGTCTATGGGCCGCAGCAACCACTTACCATAAGTTGGACTGTGTGCTCGTTTGTCACCCTATCCCATAAAAATAAAAAAAAACATTTGTTGTAGGTAGGGACTATCATTAAATTTCTATAGGAACTGTATCAATAACTGGCCGTTGCCGCTAGAGACATAAGGGATACTTCTTTGCTCGCCAAAATAGTACTATTATATAATATGTTTTACGAAAAAATGCAGCCAGTGTTATGGGCAATATACCACAGGCAGTAGGACTATTTGATAATAGTAGTTTGTAGTTTAATAATTTATATATAACAAAAAATAATTCTTAAAACGGGTTCAGAGTATATTCTACAGAAGGACTTCTACAAATATTTTTGCTAGAATTTTGACGGCAACTTGAGCACCAGCGGATTATTCCTCCTGATATGGTTTGAAGTGTATCGTGATAAATACATGTGGAAATATAACCTCAAATAGCTTAGCAAGATCCTCCGTTATGCCGAAAATATTGCAGCATTAATTTTGAAATAAATATATGGTAAAGTTGAGTATTAATGTTAAGGACTATGTTAGACGAAAACACGATTCCGTAAAATTTTCTCGATAGAAAAAAATCCAAAGTTACCTCCAAAATAAACAATAAACCGCTGTTATTCATAAAATACTTTAAATAAGATCATGAAACTTTGCATACTAACTGAACTAACTATAAAGCAGTGCTTATGTTATTTACTTTTTTTAAATACCATTACTTTCACTGTAAAAAGAAATTACCTAAACTATCGGCTTCTTGAAGCTTGATTCCTGCCGCCCGGTCAGTTTCAGTCAGTTTCGCTTCGGCCTTTGAAGGGGTAAGTTGCCCTCTTAAGAGGATATAGTAAGTCAGCTCAAATTCTAATTTCGCCCCCACTTCCCCGCGAGTCATATGCTATGTACCGACATGTTTGTAATCACTAATACTGTAAGTAGATTGGTCGTTAGATACTTATTTCATTAGGTTTATCATATTTATGCCTGTTTCTTAACGGCAACCCAGTCGACCCTTATTTTTATTACGGTTATTTCCCATTTTAATTTTATGTCGTCCTGTTGCGTTAATGTGTATTCTGATCGTAAGCGACACAACCTCCGTTCTCTTCAAAGGCCAAAGCGAAACTGACCGGGCGGCAGGAATCAAGCTTCAAGAAGCCGATAGTTTAGTTTAGGTAATTTCTTTTTACAGTGAAAATAACGGTATTTTTAAAAAAGTAAATAACATAAACACTACTTTATAGTTAGTTCAGTTAGTATGCAAAGATTCATGATCTTATTTAAAGTATTTTATGAATAACAGCGGTTTACTGTTTATTTTGGAGGTAAATTTGGATTTTTTTTCTATCGAGAAAATTTTACGGAATCCTGTTTTCGTCTAACATAGTGCTTAACATTAATCCTCAACTTTACCATATATTTATTTCAAAATTAATGCTGCAATATTTTCGGCATAACGGAGGATCTTGCTAAGCCATTTGAGGTTATATTTCCCCTTAAGTGTCTGTGCGTGTGACCTATTCTTATTGGAAAGAACGAAACAAAAGTTCCCATGTTGATACAAAATTCAAGTTATTTTGTCAATATAGTTATATTAATAAAAAAACATATATAGTGTTTTAGTGTTAATAATTTAATTAACCTTTAGCAATATTTAAGTAATCCTAATAAAACTAATTCCTTACTTATTTCGAATATTGAACGCTGTAACTCCTGTATGTAACGGAAGGTAATTGATCTTAGTATAATTTTCGTCGTAAAATACATCGAGCTGACTACATTGGCTGGCGTATGAATACGTTGGGGTTATAAGAATGCAAATAGCAGGTAACTACGCAGTTCCTGGCAAACATTGTAGAGAAAGGACGATTGCTAGAGTGGAATAAACATTGCTAATTTGCTTGTTTAGCAATACCTCCTCGACTTGAGAACTTGGGAACAAGCTCCGAGCAATAAATAACAATGTTAAACATCATCCTCTGACAAATGAAATGAAAGGCCAACTTAGGCACAAGCGCACTCATACAAAACAATACAAGCCGCTAAAGTAATTAAAGCTGAAGACATCCGCTCCCCGCGAGCTCCGGCACTCAAATCAAATACGCCACTCGTCGGAAACAAAACGCGCTATTACCTACCCGCTTTTGTTATTTTTCAAAAACTGCTCTCTATTCAAACCGGCCAATGCGGAGCAGGCGAAACAGAGTACGTTGATTGGCCGACGACCTCTGTTGAGTGCAAGTGGAAATAAAAAGTGCTTGGGTAAATGAGGCATGTCGTCCTTTTCTTCCGCGCCACAATTGCGTTGTCGCATTTCGCTCGGTTTTTCGTTTTAATTGCAAGCATGAGAGGATGTGTAAAGGGTTGTGAGACCTTGAGTGGTGCACGTGTAGGAAGGAGGCTGCGGGGAAGCGCATTCAACTTGTTTAAATGGGGGGAAGGGTCTCTTGTTTATGTCATCCATGTTGTCAGATGGGGGTTACAGCGTAATATTCTTACGGAGCACGTCTGACAAATGCTTTGGTAGGGATTAATGAGAGTTCGTCATGTGGGTCACATTAAATTGCATTTGAGCTTTTGACTTTTTTTAAAGTATGTTAAATTTTTAATAATAATATTTATATTATCATTAAGAATAATATTATTATTAAAAACCATCCATATATATATATATATAAATATGGGTGATTTTATTGCCGTCTGGAAAAATAAGATAAGTATAACAGGTGAATGGAATAGGAGCCTATGGCACTAATGTTTAACAATATTTTATTTTTATTTTACATTAACATATTATGAAATTGATCTATCAATAAATGCTATTAATTTGAAATAAACTTTAATTACTAAAAATAACAACAAATTTGAACTAAATATATAAATCATTTAAAAACTATCGAAATTAAATTAATACGTACCCACTTAGTAGTATTTATTGATAGATCAATTTCATAATATGTTAGTTTAAAATAACAACAAAAATTTAAATATCAGTGCCATTGGCTATTATTCCGTTTCCCTGCTGTTACACCCACCACATTATATTATATACACCATTATATTATATTATTTGTATATATATATATATATATATATATATATATATATATATATTATATATATATATATATATATATATATATATATATATATATATATAGTATTCAAATAATATAATATAATAATAATACTTCTAAATTTATTATCTGTTTAGTGTTCTTTTAAACCCTTTGTTTGACATCATCATCTTAAGCGTCTAAGAGTTTACAACAGGATATTGTTAAAAGGCATAACTGTATCTACTGCCGACGCTTACAGTTCCGGATCTCGTATCTATATTAGTCGAACAATTATTGACACAATTAATATCTACATTTATCGTATTCTTTCAGAGTTTTTCTAAATCGACTTTCGTTAAGGTAATAAATTATCATACATTGCCACCACACTTTACCTTGTAGTGGCAATTAAAGAATCCACTGCCCCATATCATCCCGTATCGTAAGAGGCGACAGAGAGAAATAAATCAAGTGATGGTCAGCAACGTCTTCCTAATAACGTCTAAAAATAAAATACCGCGGTTGCCAACCCGCTTGCCAAGCTTGGCAACTATGGCAAATATCCCTCCTATGAGGCAATATATGGGAGAGGCCGATGTTCACCAGTGAACATTGTAATGCTAACGATAGCGGTGCCACCATACAGGACAAAAACATTTCACTGTTCAAAACATTTGTCTGAACAAAATATTCAATGGCTGTGTGAATAAAAACTAAAATATTATACACTTAGCACTTGCAAACATCGCAACTTTGCTCACCTGTGTGATTTTAAACTATAGATAGTACGTTTATTCCTTTTCTTTAAGAACATGTTACTGAATGTTTGACTTAAACGTCAAGAAAACCTAACACTTGTAAGCGTGAAACACAGTATAATTTCTTATATTAGGTACTCTGTATAGGTTATAAGTTAGTAATTACTATTAGAAAATTAGATAAGAAAGAAAAGTTGTAGGTATCTGCCTGTATCTATCTAGGTTGTTATAATCTCTTACATAATTCTATCCTAAAACAATGTATCCTTTACTATGTTTTAGAGATTTAGTGTAATTACAGATTGTGAGATATTCCATCTTGGGTCCCAAAACGTTAATAATAGTCCATGAGAGCCTATTATAGTCCAATCTTAACATAGACCTCCTTCATAGATTGCTTCCTTACGAGGATATTGCCACAGTTACCACGCTAAGCAGACGGGTTGACAACCATATTAATGGTTATTTTGAACCGTTTGCAGGAATATGCTACCACCGCCCATCTTTTTTTTATTAAAAAGAATATTAACAATGCTATAAACATTACTAATATTCCCCTTAACCACTCGTGGTAAGCTTGAATTGTTTGTGTTACGAGTGGTTCACGCCAGTAGACGAATGGCGGATTCGAACCCACGACCTCTGCCATTAGGCTACTGTCGCTTCTATTTCTATTTTGATTTGTTTCCCTCTGTCGCGTCCTACGACACCCAATCCGAATCGAATTCTGGCTAGATTCCAGCATCATTGCTTAAAATCATTTTGTTTTGCCTGTAGAAGATACCGTAGTTCTTCATTGCAGTATTTCCAATTTAATAATATTTTAGTATGATAAGAGCTTCTGCAATATGTTATATTTTTGATTATTTTTCATCTTCAGGCTAAGGGAGTGCCAGTCTTAATTTATAAATAAAGAATTTTTAAAATCCTATTTCGGTAAGATTTAATCAGAATATTACAACTGTTCATATTTAGTTTTACATTTAATAGTTTTAAAAACCACATTTTTTCGCTTCAGCCGAATCCGCTATGTTTTTTATTTTTTTGAATTTTCTTAAAATATTCATAATCATCATCATTGATAAAATATTCATAATAAATTGTATAAATTTGTTAAATATTTTGTATTCATTTTGTATCTGGGATTTTGTATCACATCATTATACTTATAAAGGAGAATTAAATTAGTTAGGAGTTTGTCCTGCAAGGAGCAAAATTCTGATAGACTTTGATTCCTAAACAAAAGGAAGGAGGCACCATTGTGGAAAGGGTGTACTTCTCCGGAATGGGGGAAATTTAATTATATATGAAGCAACATTAAGAATTATTTATCCTTGAAAATTGATTAATAATCAGATCTTTACGTATCATATAATGGCATAATTTTTTTTGTTTGGTGAATATAGTTTATTTTTCTTAATAACCGTTATGACCTCTTATGATATCTGAGAGGGTTTAAGGGCAACGCCAAATTGTACGCCACGCTGATCCGATGCGCGTTGGTGAACTTCACATGTCTTTGAAATATATTAGGTAATTCAGCACTTAAAATTGCAATTAATGATTTCTTTGGTGCCGGCGGGAATCGAACCCGGGGTGCTCGCGTACTGTGAAATTTACTGCGCTTATACCTTGAGCTACCATAGCTCATTCAGCGTTTGGTTGAGGTACATAATATTGTAGCTTTAGCATCTTCATAAATATAAAACAAATACAATAAAAAGTTTTCAAAATTTCGCATTTACCGCTACTAACACCTTTTATTTATCCCTTAAAGTAAAAACCCAAAACACTCCAGCCACTAATCTTATTCTGCTTTATCATGAATGTATGTAAGGCATTGTATAACATTTACCCTGGCAAAAAGCTTCCTGACAAATGGTGCCCAATGTGAAGCATCATTCATTGATTTTTTTTAAATGAATCCATTTTATTAAGAAAGTTGTTATCAGGATAATGCTGCCGCCAACGCCAGTTTTATTTCTCTCTGTAGTATCTTACCTCATTATATGCGATAGTACATTTCTTTTTTGGTTAAAGCCTCCTAAATTAATTACTTATTTACGTGAAAGACTCATGCTTGTAAAGTCTATGACAATGGTTTTTACCAAATCACGGAACTCTAAAGAAAATGAGGGAACGAAAATGTCAGTAAATTTTCTATTTTGCTGTTTCAAAGGCCTACTAAGGCTTTACACTACGCCACCAAGTATCTAAGCATTTGGCTGCGGCTCGGCAGAGTGTAAGTTCCAATCTCGCGTGAAACATGTATATTAGGATGTAGGTGTTTAAGAGATTTAAATTCAAATTTCTTATTTTTTCTCATGTGCAATTTGTATATGTAAAATGCTTTTATGTTACACAAGTAATTTCTATTGCAAAGGTCGCGGTTAATAAAATATGTAACTGCTGTGGATTTCTTTGAGTAATTTAAATGCAAAGTTTTTAAGAGTTCTTTAAGGTATATATTAAAATCATTCACACGCTAACGGCCTGTATAAGGTAAGGCAATTACTAAAAAATCTTTCGTGTCAATATTGACGGAGATGTGTGAAGGGTCGGCTTTCTGATGACATAATGAAAACAGGTTCCTTCTCGATGGACAGACGACGATTCAATTTAACATATAACATGAAATTAAATTAAATTGGTATTTTTATTTCTTTGACGTAATATATTAGTTTAACAAACGTCATTTTTAGGATTTCTGTCATAGCAGCCAGTTTCAACGAAGGATTATGTTGTACTAGTCACACACTACTCAAACTCAAACGGGTGCACTCTCTATTTCTTCATTCTCGTAGTCCGCTAAGACGGAAATCTGGCACAACCAGAGAGCAATCAGGTGCAGAACCAACGGTTTTATGTGCTTGGTGAGGCACAGGCTAGTTTCTTGACGGAAAAACCCAATAATTGATTTTGACCCCACTCGGGATCGAATCTGGGACCGCTTAACCATCAGTCGCCCTTACGAACACTAATCCAACGAGGCAGTCAAGTTTTTAATTCAATCATTGTTAAAATAATAATTCATTTCTCTTTTATTTTCCCCCTTCATTGAGCACGCCTAGCACTCATTTTAAGGCAAAAATACGATATGCAACATCTGCATCACTGACATAATTTAAAAATAAAAAAGAATATCTATGAAAAAAACAACAACTTTTCAGTTGCTCACTCGTTATATGCTAACCTCTTTATTAATTAGCGCGTCAACAAGCCACTTCAGTCAGCGCAAAATGTAAATTAGCTATAGACGAGTATACTTGCTGTGTTGAGTACTCAGAGAGTTACGTTGTGACGATGTGTGGGTGATAAGCTTCCCTAGTTTTTTTTTAATATTTCATACAAACAATGATTACTACTCAGTAAATAGCACATAAGTACTACTAGCAGTGCCGTGCCGTGGAAAAGTATAAAATAATATATATGTGGTTGCAGCATAAGAAAATGCCATTCCAAACCCATTTCGTCTCATAAATATCGTAAGAGGGGAA